AAATTCTATGTGGCAAATTCAACCATACACCAGTGCTGTCATTGCTACTGTTACTGATCTCGGGCTGCCTGTCGCTGTGTCCAATAACAAAGGCAGGGTTGAATCATATTAGGCATTTATTGCGAAGGCTAGCCAACCAAGAAGACAGGGTGCTTACAAGCATTCAAATCCTGTCTTATAGCAAAGTGCAGGGGATAGGATTATAAAGGGGAAGGGGCTACGGTGAGGCTGGGAATGGAATGCAGCTACGTGCAGCCCTGGAGGTCCGCAGGTGTCAGCTATTGTCCTTGGTTATCAGGCGATGAGATGATGTTTGACTCCTGGTGGATTGGTCTGACCATGATAATCGGTTCAGCTTGCTGGATTCACAGCTGAGTCATGCTTCAGACAGGCCTTGAAAAGGAAACTTAAGAAAAACTTAACCCCCTATTCACATATGAGAAACTTAACCCCCTATTCACATAAATATATGTGTTCTAAGATTTAAATAATATGGTTATTTTTCAGATTAATTAAAGTGCTCTGTCTATCCAATTATAAGTCCCCCTATCATTACTACAGCATTATGGTAAGCATTTTACATATTTTATCCTTTTTAAATTTAATATCATAACACCCTTGTTTTATTGAGAAGGAAACTGAGGCCTGTTAGGGTCACCAAGGAAGGCACAAGGCCAAAAGTGGTAAAGAATTATAAATTAACTAGAGGCCTGGTGCATGAAACTTGTACACGGGTAGCATCCCTAGGCCTGGCTGGCAATAAGGGCCAATCAGGGCCTTCCCTCCCCTGGCTGCCAGCCAGAGCCTTCCTTTGTTCTACGCCACCCCCCGGTGGTCAGCGCATGTCATAGCAAGCGGTCGAACTCCCATTTGGTCAAACTCCTGAGGGGACAATTTGCATATTAGCCTTTTATTATATAGGATAGAATTAGATCATCTGGAGGCCATATGGGCTGAGCCCCAAAATGGTGCTGGCACCCAGGGATGGGGAGTCAGAGGTTTCAAAGTACTCTAAGTGGGCTTTTTCGGTAGCAAACTCTCTGGGCAGTCCAGATCCTGGGAAAGTCCAGAGGGGAAAGACAATGGTCTTAATAAGTGAAAGTGGTCTAAGCAAAAGGGAATGTCAGTTGTAAAGTGGTCTAAAGGTCAGTTCCCAGGGGAGGGGTTATTGATTCAGTTATTGGATCAGACCTGACATTCAGCCTTTCTGTTTTATGCAATAGGGATGGAGGTCATTTCTTCCATCTGAGAGGGGACATCAAGATCATAAGGGGATGGACTTTGATTGTAGTCAGCTGGAACACTGCATAGATTCCTCCTGGTTGGAGCGAGGGGTTGCAGCAGCATGATTTCCCCAAGAGACTGGTTGGTGAAGACTCAAAAGCCATCCTGAAGAAAAGATAAAAAATGACGCAGAATACATGAGCCAAAACCGAGGATGCGGAATAGGAATGTTAATGGTCCTATGAAAGGAAGTAAGCTGGTATACCAATTTATATTTTTTAGCCAGTAGCCCCATGAATTTGATTGATGTTCTCTAATCTTTTCCGCCCTTTCCGTTAATTTTTGGGTGGCATCCCTGACTAGGCCAGACTGGTTGACATAAAAACAGCATTCTTCCTCCAGAAAGAGGCATAAACTCCTTTCTCTGCTGTTAGGAGGTCTAGTCCTCTCTGATTTTGGAGGGTTACAGCTGCTAGTGAATCTATCTGATCCTGAATTTGAACTAAACTTTTGGCCATGTCATCTGGGCTTTCTTGTAGGTCCTGAGACAAGATTTCAAAATATTATAGAGCAGTGGTTAAGCCTCCTATGCCAGTCCCAACACCTGTTGAGATACCGAGGGTTATGAGGAGAGGGATTATCTGGACTGCCCTTTTGTGTCGGATATGATGGATTGTGGGGACAGTAAGATTGATTATTAGGGGCTACATCTACATTGGGTGAGAGGTAGGTTCCTGTCCAATTGGTCGGGAGGCAAATGTATGTGTTTTCCCCACAAAGGATGAAATATCCCTGATCATGGAAACAAGCTGAAAGGTGTAGAGAGAAGAGGTGGACTAAAGGGTATGAGGTTCCTTTTCCCAGTTCCACCCTCCAAACTGAGAGGGTAGTTCCATGGTGCTACCGATAAGGGGTGACAGATGAGTGGTTGAGATTCTATTGCAGTGAAAGTGGGAAGGAACACCAGAATGGGTTGTTATCCAAGGGAAAAGAGAAAGGGAAGGAAAGGAGCAGTGAAGCCTTGAGCCTGGATGGTTGAATAAGAAATAAAACAGCCCTAACCGGTTTGGCTCAGTGGATAGAGGTCAGCCTGCGGACTCAAGGGTCCAGGTTTGATCCCAGTCAAGGGCATGTACCTTGGTTGTGGGCACATCCCCAGTAGGGAGTGTGCAGGAGGCAGCTGATCGATGTTTCTCTCTCATCGATGTTTCTAACTCTCTATCCTTCTCCCTGTAAAAAAATAAATAAAATATATTTTTTTTAAAAAGAAATAAAACAGATCATCTGTAGGAAATAACCATTGGCTTCTGGGGAGACCTGGTAGTCAACCCCTTGGGACCACTGGCTGTTCAGTAGTTCTAGGTGAACTGTGGGGTTGCAAGCTGATGATGGGAGATGGCCTGTTGTTATATTGTCCTGTGACTTTGTAAAGCACAAAGGGGCTTGGGTGATTAGTGGGGTGTGGAGAGTGATAGGAACTGTGACTGGATTGGAGGAAGGAGCTACCTTAGCAAGAGACTGAATATAAGTAGGGAAAAGAAGGGAGGCTTGATTTGCCTGGGCTGTAGGATAATTACCTAAAAGGGTGGAACCATGGGGTATGCCCTGCTAGTTTAGCTGCAGGTGGGGGAGTTAGGAGTACCTGATAAGGGCCTTGCCATCAGGGCTATAAATTATTTGACAGATGGGGTTCCTTTAGGGGGACCCAGTCCCCTGGCTGTAAAGGAGTAGGGGAAATGTCTCCTGTAAAAGGTTGAGGGAGGACCTGATCAGTATGTTTTTTCAGTAATTGCTGGGTGAGATTTAAAATGGGGCAGCTCTAGCTGGTTTGGCTCAGTGGATAGAGCATCGGCCTGTGGACTCAAGGGTCCCCGGTTCAATTCTGGTCAAGGGCACATGCCCGGGTTTTGGGCTCGATTCCCAGTAGGGGGCATGCAGGAGGCAGCCAATCAATGATTCTCTCTCATCATTGATGCTTCTCTCTCTCCCTCTCCCTCTCCCTTCCTCTCTGATGTCAATAAAAAATAGTTTTTAAAAGGTTAAAAAAATGGGGACACAGTCTCCTAGAGGGGTCTCTGTGGAAGGGAAGTTTCCTAATAAGAAAAGTCTTCATATATGAATTCAATGAGACTAAGAAAGGAGGTTGCACGGCAGGGGTGGGGGGAGGGGTGCCCTGATGCACTTAAGGGCTAGAGATAGGGGAGTAATCCAAGGTTCTTTAGTTACGAGAGTTAATTTAGGTGAGATTTAATTAAGGAATTTGCCTTTTCTACCTTGCCTGAAAACTGGGGCCGGTAGGTGGTGTGTAAGTTCCACTGGATGTTCAGAGTGGAGACCTGTTGAGTTATTTGAGATATGAAAGCAGGTCCTTTATCTGATTGTAATGAGGTGGGGAGGCAGAATCTGGGAATGATATGCTGAATGAGAGTTTGAGTAACCTCAGAGGACTTTTCAGACACAGTGGGGAATGCTTCTACCCAGTATCTAATAGGGTTAAGAGATATTTGGTTCTTTTAATAGGGGGCATGTGAGTGAAGTCAATTTGCCAGTCTTGTTCAGGGATTTGGCCACTAGACTGATGAGTGGGGAAAGAAGAA